AGGGGAGGGCGCATGGGGCGCGTGAGGGTGTCTTGACCTTTGAATCCACAGGAGAAGAGGAGCAGGAAGGACGGCAAAAGCCAACCGGGGCAGGGAGGGCTATAGAGGCGCCCGCCCCTGTTTTCTAGGTGGGGAGGCCAGAAATGGCCAGAGTATCTCGCCCTTTAACTGAGAGCCCGTCAGACCGGCTGAAATAAAACATCACTTCTCTTCGGAAAATGGATTTTGACTAGTCACCCGGTGCCCGTCAGAACTCACCCCAGGCGACTAGGGTACTAGTTTGAGATCATTCCAGGGCTGGGCCAGTCTGAACCTCGGCTGACTGATGCCCACTTCCCACGTGAGACAAGATTTTGGTCCGGATTAGCTCCTCCGGGGCTGCTCCTCCAATTCTCCCCATTTTGGGCACAGAGTGGGAAAGGTTAGGGCATCTGGCCGCCCCCCCTGCTCTCGCTCTTACCCTTCCTCGCCCCTCTCGCCCGCCTGTTCCCTGTCCTGGCAAGACCCGTAACGCTTTCTTTCCCGTCCGTCAGGAGAGGTTTGCGGCCCACGAAGGGATGCGGCCCATGAGAGCCATCTTTACCCGCGAGGGACAGATCTTCACCACGGGGTTCACCCGCATGAGTCAGCGGGAGCTGGGACTGTGGGATCCGGTAGTCGGGCTGCATGGAGTGGACCCCCGGCCCCCTCTGGGAACTTGGCCATTGCCCGTCCTGGGCGCCTCCCAGGACTGTGGGGCCCCATTTGGGCAAGGGGGACATCACAACCAGATGCCCACGGGCAGGAGCGTGCAAGGGCATTCACAGATGCACCAAGTCCAGAACACACACACACACACATCCCTGTGAAAGCCAGTGCTGCAAAGAGCCTGAAGTTGACCCTCTCGTTTACACACACACACACACACACACACACACACACACACCAGTTTTCACGCACTCCCCACAATGCAGACAAGTACAGCCATGTTCGCATAATGGTTCTTTATGGAAAATGAGTTTCTTTTATTTGTTAGAATTATATCCTCCTTTTCTTCCAAGAGCTCGGGGTGGTATAGTTACCACACATTTCCCCACAACAACATCCATTACACTGGATGTAGTTTTTCAGAGGACCCCTAGGAGCAGGTAGGAGGCCATGCTGAGACTCCGATTGCCCAGCAGATGGCAACGCCTAGCCAGCCTTGGCGCAGGAGGGTCCTTGGCTGGGGGACCACCACGAGATCCCAGGGCCCAAAGGGGGGACTGGGAAGTCGAAGTAACATCCCCATGGCAGGACTGGCTGGTTAAGTCACCAGGAGTTGGGCTTCGCTCCGAGGGGACGTGACTTCCAGGCCTGGCTGCTCAGTCCTGCCCCGGTCAATGCCTAGTTCCCAGAGCCTGATTGTTGTGGATTTGCAGGGGGGAGAACGGGGACAGTGCATGGGGGAGTGCTGTGTTCCTGGGCAGGGGGCGTCTGCAAAAGAGGACGGAGGCATTCTAAAATAGCTGGTGGGGCTAGGAACGGACTAGTCTGTGCCGCCCACGGGGCGGTGGGGTTCAGGTGAGGGGGGCTCAGAATGCATGAGAAGAGGCAGGAGATCAGTGAGAGGTCAGACTAGATGTCCTCTGGGGAACCCCCCGTTCCACTGGTCAGAACAGCCCAAAGATGTGGCCCTTCAGGAGCCATTGGGTTACAGCTCGCGTCCCCGGGATCAGTGCCCATGCTGGCTGAGGCTCACGGGAGTGGACCCAGCAACCTCCAGTGGCCCCCAGGGTGGCCGCAGAAGCTCCCTGGCACCTCCGGGTGAGAGAGCTCCCCCGGCGTTGCTGGCTCTCGCTTCTTCTGGGGGGCTGCGGGGAGGTGGGCCTGGGTGGGCCTCTGGCTGCATGCACGCGGGGTGTGGGCCTCGGGGTCCTGACTCCTTCCCTGGGCTTTGCAGAAGAACTTTGAGGAGCCCATCGCCCTCCAGGAGATGGACACCAGCAACGGGGTTCTCCTGCCCTTTTACGACCCTGATTCCAGCATAGTCTACCTGTGTGGAAAGGTAGGTGAGCGGGGAGGAAGGCAACCAGAGCCGGCTTGGTCGCGTGGTGAAGGGCTCAGGCTAGAAAGCAGGCTCTCGGCCCCTTAGGACCGGTCCCAGGAGGGGGCAAAGGGGATTCCAGGGACAGAGGACAGGAGAAAGGGGGAATGTTGAGTCTGGGAAGGGACGGAGGGGACGCGGGGAGAGCCCAGCAGCCCCACATTTCTATAAATCTGTGGTTCCAACCGAGCACGCGCAGCCCCAGTCACACCCTTCCCCCCAACCCACTTTACAGGTTGGTTGTGCGAATAAAAGTGGGGCAGGTGCGATTTATCCTCACCAGCTCCCTGGAGGATACACAAAAGGGGGGAACCTCAGCCAGAGCCGTCGGTGCAGGGGAGAAACGGGCAGGTCACTTTCCGTTGGTGGCTACAGGGCTTTGCAAAATGTCCTTGCTGGTTAAAAGAAAAAAATGCTGGAACCTCCCCCCCCCGCCCCAATCCGCGTGCAGAAACTTGGGAGGTGAGCAAAGCTGGCCTTGAGACTCGTTCGCGCTTCCGTGCAGGGCGACAGCAGCATCCGCTATTTCGAGATTACGGACGAGGCTCCGTACGTGCATTACCTGAGCACCTACAGCAGCAAGGAGCCCCAGCGCGGGATGGGCTTCATGCCCAAACGAGGGCTGGAGGTCAGCAAGTGCGAAATCGCCAGGTGAGGCTCAGGCTTCAGGACATCCAAAATCCGGGGCGGGGGCTGCTACCAGGGCAGAGATTTTGTGACATTTTACAGTAACACGTTCTACTGATTACAGGTGGTCCTTGCCTCATGACCACAATAGGAACTGGAAAATTGGTGGTTAAGCAGGTCGGTTGTTGAGCGAATCAGACCCATTTTATGACCGTTTTTGTGGTGGTCATTAAACAAATCATGTGCTTCCCCATTGATTTTGCGTGCCAGAAGCTGGCTGGGAAGGTTGCAAATGCCGATCACATGGCCCCAGGGTGCTGCAACCATCATAAATACATGCTGGTTGCCAAGCACCTGAATATTGATCACGTGACTGCAGGGACACTGTGACGGTTGTAAGTGTGAGGACCAGTTGTAAGTCACTTTTTTCAGCCCCATCATAATTTTAAACCGTCACTAAACAAATGGTTGTTAAGCGAGGACTACCTGTATATCACAGTAGTGTCTGGATTAGTAAACCGGTTATTTTATACTATTGATAAGTATAAAATATATATTTTTTTCTCTCTTTTCTTTTTTAGTTTGTATTTTTAGTTTGTTTGGAGTTGTCTCTTTTCTCATTTTTCTTTCTCATGTCTCTCAATGTTTCTTTCTAATTTAAAAAAAAACGTTAAGTTTAAAGATGGTTTTGTTAATCACGTATGTTAAGAATGTTAAATAAAAAATGATTTTAATAAAAGGTGGGGGGGGCGTATGATGCTTTACAAGGAATGGCTTAGGGTGGGGTTTGTAGGAGGAAGGCTGTGGCAAAGAATCAGGCGTCGGGGAGCATCTTGTCCCACGGCTAAATTCTATGCAAAGCAGGATAAATTCTGATGAAATAAATACATTCTACTGATGTAGGATTTAAATTATAGTTGGTCATTATTTTGTTATTATATTTTGTTCTTTGGAACAAGGGTGCCAGATGGTTTTGCAGAAGCAGGAGGGATCTGCTGGCCCCTTTTCCGGCCAATACATTTTATTAAACGGTGTACAGCTAGAATCAGTGCTTCTCAACCGTGGGGACTTTAAGATGGGTGGACTCCAACTCCCAGAA